GTGATATTGTACATTATATATATATATATATATTAATATTATATATATACAGTATATTTTTTGCTAAAATATTAAAATAAATTCTATTATAAAGTAACAAACCAAATCATTATTCCAAGGATTTAAATTTATCATATTTCTATTTTTGATGAAGTTTAAAATTTTCTTTAAGAAAATTGAAAGATCAACATGTGATCAACTTACATTAGTTATTTATACCATTAAGAGTTGTGTGAATGAATGAATTTTTGATATGTTAATGATGTAGAAAAAAATTCCTTTTGTTAAGGTTTAAAAACCATCCAAAGTTAATAAATAAACTGGAAAAGGTCTTTAAACATGTACATATGTAATCTAGCAGTCAAATGTAGTCATAAATATAGTAGTCAGTGGAAACTTTTATTAAAGAAAAATGTCACTATATTATCACATATTGGATATCACCTTATCTCTACGAATTATTACCGCAGGTGTTTGTTCAAGTAGTACGGTCTACTGTGAATAATTCAAAGCTTAATTAGTGTTGGAAATAGTGTTCCTAAACTGACATGAAACCTTAATTGAACATGCTTTAGCTTGCAAGTAAATAATATTGCTACATATGATATATGAGGAATGGTTTTAAACATTTTATTACAACTAAATATAACTCCTCCCCCTAGTGGCTCAGCAGTATTTCTGCAAAATGATAATGCTAAAAACTGGGTTTTGAAACTCCTGGTGAGCACAGCAAAGATAGCCCATCATGTAACTTTGACCTTAGCTACAAACAAATGTAACTAATGATAATGTAACTTACTACTTTGGGAAAAACATTAACACAGGAATTGAGTTTACACACACATACATATATGAAAAGCCTTTGAAACTGAATAATTCACACCTTAGACCACTAGAATATAACCTATAGAAGAAATATTAAAAAAATGTTCATTACCTGAAATATTTTTTTAACTTAAAGCCACAGGCATATTACTATTGAAGCTATAGAACAGTTTAAGAATTTTTTCAGTGCCCCTCATTCTTTTGAAATGAATCCTTACCTATTATTATATATTGGGATTAAAGAAATCTCTCCTGACTGAGGCTTGAAACTGAGGCTCTCAGCTTTTGTTAGTAACCTTTACTAACTGAACTACCACAACTTCAAAAATGATGCATGAAATTACATGAGACCATCTCAATACAATTCCAATAATGCCTCGATTTATTAAAATGGAATTATCCATGTATAATGGTTTTTAATTGTCATGTTTATCAGTTGGAAATAAGGTTTTATAACATTTCAGTTTTTACCACTGTTTGAAACTAGCTCAGTGTCTTATTAAACATTATATATATATATATATATATATTTGTTACAGAAGATCAATGCACAAGTTTAAAAGTCCATGTTTTTAACCTGAATGCATCTTCTGCAACACATACACTAAATAGCAGGGCCAGAAACCCCAATGTTTGTGTACAAACATTCCTAATTCAGTACTGGTGACTGTAGCAAGAGCAACCAGTCAGTATTACTTGCTGTCTACACAATTATCTGTAAGCCAAGTAGTGAGATTGACTGTTACAGTTATAATGTGTCATCAGCTGAATGTCTTGATTTTGTTCAAGTGTTTGATTTTTTGTCTGTTTTTTATCCACAACCCAATGAAGCAACCACTAGGGTATATCTGACAGTCAGTATTACTTGCTGTCTACACAGCTATCTGTAAGCCAAGTAGTGAGATTGACTGTTACAGTTATAATGTGTCATCAGCTGAATGTCTTGATTTTGTTCAAGTGTTTGATTTTTGACTGTTTTTTATCCACAACCCAAGGAAGCAACCACTAGGCTATATCTGACAGTCAGTATTACTTGCTGTCTACACAGCTATCTGTAAGCCAAGTAGTGAGATTGACTGTT